TGTCGCTGCTGGGCGACTGGTCCTGCTGCTCGGTGGCCTCTGAGAGCTCTGCGGGTGCGCGTTTGTTCTGTGTGTGTGTGTGGAGAAGGAGCGCGGGCGCGGGGCAGACCTGTAGGGTCCGGTTATTTTCTTTTTCCCTTATTTTATTTTTATTTTTAATTTTCTCCTCCTTTAGCGCTGGTTTCTCTTGCAGATGTTGCTGCAAGTGGGGGCAGAGGGAGCGATGTGATTGCCTGGGATCTTGGGGCGTCTCTCTCTTCACCTCGCAGTTCCTGCTCCAGTGCTGCTGTTGCTAAAGACTTTTTGTAACTGTCGACTCAAGTGCGGTTTCGATGGAAAATGAAGGTAAAGGTCTCTGATCAGAGTCACTGGCTTCACTGGAGCTAAGAGGATTTTTGCATGCAATTTGGTGACAGCTCCTACTGGTGCGTGTGTATGCTTTACTGTTCCAGGGGTTTACAGGGTTGCTTTTATGTGCTCATCTCATGTCAAGGATTTTGTTCTGCAGTCTGTAGCTTGTGAATTGTAGAACTGCCTTTTTTTTTTTTCTGTGCTGCTGCTTGTTGGCCTAAATTGGCCATTTATTTTCTTTATTTTCTTTTTTTTTTTTTAAATACTTAAGATATGTGCTTAGATGTTTTATTTTAGTGTGCTGTATGCATTTGGAATATACTTTCTTGTGTTATTTGTACAGGTGTTTCTGAGCATCACTTGCTGCTTATTTGTTTAGATTATATGCTTTTGTTAAATTCAATCTTTCAGAAACAAGCTGAAAAGCATTAGTTGCATTTTTGGTTGAATACTTTATTAGTGCATATTCTATATTCTTAAAAAATCACTTAACTTTTTTTCTTTTGGATTGTTTTTACTTAAAAAAGTGGCACAGGAGTTTCGAGTTGTACCATTTGAGAGATCTGGTATAAAGTTGTGTACGGTTTATGCTGAAAGAAGTTGCTGTGTTGTGCTTTCTCTTTCTTGTCTAGGAAATCATTCTTCAGGAATGATTTAGTCTGGGGAGTTAGTTCAGTTTTTCCTTGTTGGGCTTCAGTACATGTTATAGGAAGCTTGAAAACCTCTTGCCTTGCTGATGGAGTGACTGTGAGCTTCACACGTTTCCCTTTCTGCTCAGATCTGGATGTTGAAGAAATTTTATCTGAAATTCGTTATACTTATTATTATGTATTTTTAAAAAAGAACTACTGATTTCTCATTCTCTTTCTCTCCCCTGTTGTGTTGTCACTATTCTTTGTAGCTTATTTGTAGCTTATCTACTGTGTAACTTATTTGGTGGCCGCTGGATTTTCTTTGTGATAGGTTGTTGCATGACCCATCTGAGCTCCTTCTCTTCCCCCTATCCTTTTGAAAGGACAAGTGCTGCTTTTAGTAGTTTGATTCAAATGGGATGCTGGGTTGAGCAGTACTCCACGGTGGGATGGACTGACAAAATTGTTTTCTACAGTGGATATTGTTCTGTTTTGAAATACATCTGTCTTCCATGACTGGAAAGTTGTAATAATTGCAAAGTCCAACTGAAACTGGAAACTGCAGAGGTTACTTTAATTTAGCATTTCAGAATTTTTCTAACTTTATTTTAAAGTTAAAATTTTATTGATTCTGTTAATCACATCTTCTAAGAGAATGTTTGTAATAAAGAGCATGGAACTGACTAGAAGGATTTTTTTACTCTTGGGAACACCTCTAGAGAGGAGTGATCTTCCTTTTGGGAGCATAGTTAGTAGGAGTGGTGTTTATGCAGTTGTATTTCAATCACTGAATTTTAAATACAAGATTCTTGAATGGGCAGCACTCAGAGGGGACAAGAAAAAGCAAAACGGATATAATACCGTTGAATAGCAATGCATTTAAAGAGGATTATCTGTCAGAAACTTGTGTGCCACAACCAAACATGAGGAAGACTTAGTCCTCTAGCTGTATTAACGAATAAATGGGATATCGTAGATGTAATTTATAATAAAGTTGGATATGATAGGGTATGGCCTGTTCTAAATCTTCCAAGTGGTAGTTGTTCAAAGATCGTGTTTCTTGAGGCTTTTGTGGAATAAATTAGTTGTATTTAAGAAGGAGTTATATTGCATGATAGATAAAGAGGTATATTTTAAAGTTCTTCTGGGGGAAAAATACTTCAAAAGATGATTGGATGCATATTTCAAAGGCAGAAATAATTACCATGGTTTACTGAGGGTTTTCAAAATAGGCTAAATTTCTGTGGTATGAAAAAAGCAAAACTTCAGTATGAATAATAAGGTTGAGTTGGTTCTCTTATCATCTTGGCATTCATTTGAATTACTTTCTCTACACATTTTCTTTCCTGCCACCTCATAATTGAGTGTGCAGACAAGCACATATTTACAACTGTTTGCTGTCTGTTTTAGTCCTTTTGGTTTTTTGGGGGAGGGTTCTTTCTATCCAGTTGATGTTTTGAGACAGCTAGACATCAGCAGCTTTCATATCGGAACTTTCCAGCTCTCTTGAGATGATCCTTAATGTATTTTTTCCAGGAGATAGGTAAACTGTGGAACAAAAGACAGAAGGTTTTTTTTTTTCAAAATAGTCTTTAATTTGGATATTGAGAAAGGAATGGCAGATTTTTTCCAAATTTGGAGCAGTGTTCAAGGTCAGAAAGTGATAACATGGATTGGAAAACTGACCTTTTCCTCTGTTAATTCAGTTTTCATAAGCAGTATTGTATGTTTACTGTAAGAAAGCCAATGTTTTGTCCCAAGGCTGTGGTTTCTGTCTCTTGTGCTGGGATGAATTTGACAGCTAATTAAACTTTTGCTCGGAATTCGTGTGTCTCATGTTAATGGGGAAGAGAGAGGATCTCCCATAAGAAGTTTTCTGCTTAGCTCATTAAATGTTTGACTTAGAGGAATGATATTTGTGTTTTTGTTCTGAAAGGTAGAACTCGGACTTCCTTCCATAAATGTAGCTTTTTTCTTAAGCTGTAGGCAGTTGAGAGAGCTTGCATTTTTTATTTTGGGTAAAACATAACTTTGAATACAAACTAGGCCTTTTTTGGACCTCTCCTTAGACATCACTGCATTTTGCCCATTTTAAATGACTTTCTGTGGTCGTAGTTTTTTGGTTTTTTTTTTTCTTTTGTCACTTTTTTTTAAATTGTGACAATTTCTTTGTTCTGCAGAGGATTGGCTTATAGAGCCCTCTGTCTTTTTAGCAGGAAAAACAAAGAACACAGGTTGTATTACATCAACTTTGAGCTTTTCTGCTCTAAGGCCAGACTATGGTTATAGACAAAATTGTTAAGTAGGAGTACTGCTTTGTTACCGAGGCCTTCTATATCATTTGTTCTCAGGTCTTAAAGTGTTTTACAGAAGAAGTCAAAATAACACTTTCCCACCTGTAAAACAAAAGAAAAAATTTCCCAAGATCACGTAGAAGGCTGGTACAAAAATTCAGATCAAACTCACTGTAAATAATAGAAACATCATGTGGTGATTCTGAAATCCTCTTCAATCTTCATGGCTTTAAGTCCAAGTTAATTTAAGCTAATCTTCAGGGAAGACTGTTACTATCAACCTGTGCTATGTTAAGTTACTGTTTGGAATTTCAGGATAGTTTTGTTAGTTGGGTGAATACTGAGACAGAAGTTGATGGATTTGGGGTGGAGGGAGGGAGATACATTGGTTCTTCAAATAATCCTAAGCTAATAAAAATATAGTTGTTTTTTTAACCATGTGCTTGAAGTGCAGTTTACTTTCCTAATGAGTTTTGTGGGCTTTTTTCTTAATTGATGAACATGGGCTTAGTTGCAAAACTGACAAAATGAAAATCGGTGAATAGGTTATGGCTTTTGGGGCAGTGTGAGTTCCCTGGACTAACTCACCATGGATTAGACAGCTGTAAGTACTGATGAAAGGACTGAGCATGGATAAACAAAACTGGAAAGGAAAAAAAAGGGGGGGGGGGGGGGTGCCTATGGCAGCACCAACTTGAAAACAATTTAAGTTGTTCCAGAGTGGCACCATCAGTTGTTCATGAAAGTGATATCCAAAATAATCAGAATGAAATTTCTGATGGAAAATATGTTGGAAATCCTGAAATGGGCTTGGTTTTATCACAGCAGTTCACATTCCCTTTAGAGTTTTAGATGATTTATTAAATAAACTAATAGATTAAACAAGAATTTTGATGTTCATGGGTTACTGTTTGTTATCATCTGTGACTTGCTATGAGAAAATTAGAATCAATACTTCACTGGGGCTAACGTAAAAGTGACATCTTTTCTGTTTAACTTGAAGGATAAGGTGAGAAAAGAGAATTTTTTTAACCACTGTGTCTGGAGAGACTTCACTGAAGGCTAGTTAGAAAAGATAACTTCCTATCTGTTGCTAGTTATTTCAGTTGTCATAGTGCTATTTTTTTGTCTGGCATTAGAAATATAGATCGCCTTTTAATCGAACAACCAGTGTTGCCTCTTCGTCTGTTGTTTGATTGGCTGATGGAATGCTGTATAGTTTCTTTCCTTTCCTGTTATTTTTCCCCTATGCTGTTAAACCAGAAATGTTAATCTATAGTAATGTAGAAACTGGTTAGCATGAAATCTGCTTGAGTTCAAACTTCACAAAATGTGTGTTAATTCACTAGCTTTCTGACTCCTCTATATGGAGAATCTATTGCATAATCTTTTCTTAGTGAGTCATAGTAATAGTGGCATAAGGAAAACTCAGTTTTCAAGGTAGCTAATTTAACAAAAGAGAAACATGTTTCTCACTTTTTTGGTGAACAATTTGAGTGTGTGGTGAGAATGGTATCTTGGGGTGCAATTCCATAAGACCGTATAAAACGATGTGATCGCTGTTGAAAGGAGGAGATCCTGCTCTGGGCTGTGTTCTGCCATGTGTGTTGTGTTGGCTGTCACGGTCATTGAATTTGTCTGACTTGCTAGCTTGGCAGAATGCTAACCCCGTCCCTCTTTTCCTGAGCCCCCTGTTGGATTGTTTTTTGCTGAGTTAGTAATTTGAATTGGCTTGTGGAGAGTTCAGTGAACGCCAGAAATGGTGAAGTCGTGAAATTCTCTGGCAGGGACAAGAGGAGTAAGACCTCTTCCTTTTAGTGCAAGCACACCATTAGGTTGACTCAGTCTTCATGTAGTCATAGCATCAGTATATCAGAGTGAGGCATGCTGTGATTAGCGCTACATGTTTTTTAGAAAATGGAACAGATACTGAAATGCATTTGGAAGGGATGGTTAAGGAAAAAAAAGCCATGCACCTGTTGATGTGATGTATTGATGGAATATAAATTCCCGCACAGACCACAATGAATTTTTGCAAGAGTGGAATAGATTCAAGATATGTGAATTT